AAATCTGCATCTGAGAAACCAGTTAGTGTAAAATTACCTTCTTTGGGATACCATAATCCCACATTGACTGTTCTTTTTAGGTATCGAATGATTTTCTTGGTGGAAAGAAAATGACTTTCTTTTGGCTTTGATTGGAACCTGGCACATACTCCCACTGAATAAGATATATCTGGTCGGCTTGCAGTGAGGTATTTTATATATATATATATATATATATATATATATATATATATATATATATATATATATATATATATTATTTTTTAATTTTTGGTATACAAGTGTTTATTAAAGCACATTATAATATACTCATATTATATTAAAGGCACATATTATACAATCTAACGCATATAAAGATTTTACTATAGTCATATTGCCTTCCCTTTTTAACGCACATAAGGTTTAATGTTGCGCAAGTTAAATGGTTTATCAACGCATTTTTAAGCATCGTGAAAATGACCAACTTCAGCATAATAAAATTCATATTATAAAAACATTAAACACTGGACACTTATTACATCAAAACGTAATATTAAGAACGTGCGTCCATCATACCATAATCAAGCTTAACCTTTCCTTTCTTTCTTCACGAAGATTGGCCCATTTTTTGAGTCGACTTCTTCCTCTTCATCAGCTAGGTGGGCAAGAGCCTCCATTTTCCAAGTGTTGAAAGAGACTTTTGAGCCTGTGTCGCTGCCTGAATCATCAGGAATACTCTCAACACGGTAGTTGTCAATAAATGCTTGAAACCGTTCTTCGAAAGTTGGATCATTCAGATCCTTCTTCAGTGATGGTAGATCTTCTTTTGGTATTTTGGAAAGGGGTTTTCGGGCTTTCTTAGACTGTTTGACTTTCTCAATATTTTTTGTTTTTTTTTTTAAAATCCATCTTGCTTTTGAGATGAGAAGATGTGATGGATTATCCATTCTTTAAATAGACTGATCAACATATTACTGGCTTATGAACGGGTGCATGTTACGTGTTCTAAAATTACATATGGTTCTGACAACGAGATAGACATATGACTTACCTTTAAAATAAGTGACAAGTCTATTTCATTGTCAGCAATTTTTTCATTTCCCATAAACGAAATCTGTTAAAGTTGAATGGTCATTCAACTTATAAAAAAACGCACCCATTAAGGTTTTTTTTTTTATTGGGTCTAAGTCAGTTAGTATACAGTCTAATGCATATTTAGACAGAAATACACGAATAATAAAGTATAAATGTGCGCATATTAATGAATAAATTGACGCATATCCTTTTAAGAATACCCCAACGCACATTGTAATATTAATAGACGCATTTTAAATTACTTTGCTCCATATATTTTAAGTTATACATACACGCACATGCATGTTAAGTGTAGATGTAACGCATATTAGAGCAATAAGGTCTGTTAGATATGTAATTGGCATTGGAAATAAGTGACAAGTCAATTTCTATGTCAGCATTTTTTCTATTTCCCATAATGGGAATCTTTTAAAGTTGAATGGTCATTCAATCCTTAAAAAAATGCACCCATTAACGTTTTTTTTTCTTTTCTTTTTAATGGGTCTAAGTTAGTGAGTATACAATCTCATGCACACTAAGAATGATAGATACGCATAATAAAGTGTTAACATGCACATATTAATGAATAAATTGACGCATATTCGTTTAAAAATCCCCCCACGCACATTCAAATATTAATATAGGCATTTTAGATTATATTTGATGCACATGTTAAGTTATACATACACTCACACGCATGTTAAGTGTAAATGTAACGCATATTAGAGCAATAAGGTCTGTTAGATATGTACTTGGTATTGGAAATAAGTGACAAGTCAATTTCGATGTCAGCAATTTTTATATTTCCCATAATGGGAATCGTTTAAAGCTGACTGGTCATTCAATCCTTAAAAAAACGCACCCATTGAATTTTTTTTATTATTATTGGGTCTAAGTCAGTGAATATACAATCTCATGCACATTAATAATGAAAGACACGCATAATAACGTGTTGACGTGCGAATATTAGTGAATAAATTGACGCATATTCTTTTAAGAATACCCCATCGCACATTGCCAAATTAATAGACGCATTTTAAATTATTTTGATCCATATATTAAGCTATACATACATACGCATTCTAACAATGGAAAGGGATTTAAAAATGGAAGAAAAATATTTCAATATATCAAAGATAAATTAAAAATGGAATAAAATAAAAATTATTTGAATAACAATACCCTTTATCATAATAGAAAACGGATTCTTCAATGGTTGCGTTTTATTAGGCGTTGAATAACCAATTCATATTTAACTCAACCGCTAAAAAAACGCACTCATTCACGTACATTAAAATCTTAACTAACGCACACTAAAGTAGAAACGCACGCACGCACCCTGTACGTTAAGTGTGAACGTCAATTTATTTTTAAGTTCACGAAACGGTCAACATTGAATTTTTCCAATCGGTGAATTTTACCAAGTTATTCGCCTATAAAAATGGAGTATCACCTTACCATACATCATATATATTGAAACGGTGTCATTTGAGTTTTACAGACCATCATTTATTCATCGTCATTTTCTTCACATTCATCAAGATGTTTACCCATCCTCATCATACTCGCCCTCCTTCTACTTGTTTGTCAATGTAGTTGATTACAATAACAACACATTCTAAACATCCCATGGATCAAATACAATACCACAACCCTGGAAGTTTATACGAGGATGGAAAGGAACTATTAGCGAAGCCGACCTCATTTGAGTAGAGCACATGTTCTCGTTGTTTTCATCTAAAGCAACACATTTTAAGCCTGAAAAGATCTTCTTCTGTGGATCTAAACGCTAATTGATTTGGATGTATTGGACTGTCGGGTATGTTATATTCAATTTAGAGATCAAATTTGTCTGTAAGTTGAATATAACATGTGGTGCAGTCGAATACATCTGGATCAGTTAGATTTTAGATTCATAGAAGTCGATCTTTCCAGGTTTAGAATGTGTTGTTTTAGCCCAGACATGCGACAGGATCCTCTAGTCCATTTGGAGATATATCTTTTGGTACCTTAATGCAGGCTTAACCAAAAGGAATATCTCCAAAAGGTATAGACGGATCCTGTCGTTTGCCTGGTTTTTTTTTTTTTTTTTTGTTATTAAAAATAAGCTCTCATGTCCGCTTCATTATTATTACTGATGTTGTTATTATGATTATTATTATTATAGTTGTAGTAGTAGTAGTAGTAGTAGCAGTTCAAAGTGTAAATTATTTCAATGTAAATAATAAATCTTTCTGCATTTTATTAATTTTTTTTTGGGTTGTTTTTTATAATGGTTAAATAAACTAGCAAATCCGAGTAGCATTAGACAAAAATCAATGGAAGTTATGTAATTTGTGATCTTAATAGTTCCGTGTTACATGATAATTTAATAGAAAAAGTCAAGCACATTAAGACTTTTTTCAAGGAAATATAAGTTATAAAAAAAACGCACATTAAGATCAAATTCTACGCATATTACTATGTCCGGAAAAAAACACCCAGACTCACGTATTTTCTAATGCACATTATGTTACTGTATTGCGCATGTTAAGCTCTTTTGTATTTGCCACGGACTATAGTTTTAATACATAAAGCAACGCACATTTTATTGCTGTATTACGCATCTTAAGCGTACGTATTGAATTTTAAATATATTCATTTTTTTCTTTGTTTTTAATTTTCAGGAATTGTTGTTTAATATTTTTCATATAATTAAAGTAATGGATGAGCCCACTAACGAAATGGTAGAAGTCTTTGATCATATTAATTCCGCCCAAGATTAAAACCCCCCTAAAAACTTGTTTTTTTTTATATTTTATTTTTTTGTTTAATAATGAACAGGTGAGTATGGTCTTTGTCCAATTTACGATTATTAAGCTTTAACATTGCGCAAGTTAAATATTAATAAACGTAGGTAAAGCAGTTGGCATTCACGATCGATCAAAGTTTTTACGCATAAACAAAAAGCATGGTCTGTTAAAGTATTACGCATATTACGCTTGAATGTAGCGCACGTTAAATATATTGTTTTTTCAATTTGGATAATTGTTTTTCTTTCGGGTCTACAAAGTGTTGAGTTTAATGAAACAAGCGGATGAGTGCACTGGACAAATGGCAATAGTTTTTGAAAATGTTGATTATGTGTGGGATCGAATCCCCAATAAAGACTTACAGTTCATTTATCATCACTTCTTTGATGGTTTTCGAATTCGATTGATGCAAATAATATCACCAAGGTGCGTTAGATAAACTATTATATGCGTTGCTAAAGATTTTTAAGATGCGTGGATGAATAGATCAGGGTGCGTGGGTGACCATTTAAAGTGAATTGATTTTGGGTATGTAAGTTTTCATTTGGAAAAACATCTATTAAACATTGTTTATACAATGAATAAACTGATGAGATTCAAATGCCCTTAAAGATTTAGTTTTCGTAAGGTGAACAAATGTAATGGCATTTGGTAGTTGAATACATGCACATTAGGACTTAAATAAACGCATCTTAAAGTGATATTTCACGCACTTTAATTGGTTTTCGACGCACTTTAAACTTTTGGCTTTTAAAAATCTGTTATTACGATGCAATTTAATTAAATGTAAATTTACACGCATATTGTTCTTGTAGTTCGCGCATGTAACAGAGCAAAGCAAAGCACATTATGTCTTTTATACCAATCCGTCTTTAAGTAATATTCAAAGATATTCGATGTCAAAACTTTAAGGTATTTGTAGTTGGGGAAACGGATAACATTGAATGGTCATTCAATGCCTTAAAAAACGCACACATTAAAGGAAATCTTGAAAAATCTAATGTGTCTGTAAATCACACAACATCGAAATCTCAACGCAGTGCATGTGACCAAGTTATTCACCTATAAATTAGAAGGAACAACACACAACTGAGCATAAGGTTATTGAAATGGCTATCTCTCACGTTTCCGCACGTACAGAAGAACCCTCTTCATTTATTCCTCATCTTCTATGTCCTTTTCATCTTCCTCGCCCTCCAGCTTGTAGTGATTGTAACTAACTACAAAAACAACACATTCTAAACCTGAAACATCATTCGTCATTCTCAGCTTCAAGCTCATCATGCCGCAACCAAACATCATCCAAGGCTGAGAGTTGAGCATTGTGGCAGGCTGGCAGCATGTCGGATGCTGCCGGAACCAGAAGAAATGTCTTCAAAGTACTAGAAAACACACACTGAATGTGTTTGTTTTTATTTCAATGTGTATTTACGTTTACAAATACTAACATATTAGAGTGTAAATTATTATTATTATTATTATTATTATAGAAACCAACGCTCATTGTGTTCCCATATTACGCATTTTAAATTGATATGTCGCGCATGTTAAATTAAAATCATAAAGTACTAAATCGATCATGTATTTAAGCCAACAGGGGTTTACCACGGGAGGATTCCATGATAACTTGGGCGGACCACATTATGGTTTACAACCAAAAAAATAAAATAAATAAATAAATAAAAATCGATTATGTATGTGCCATTTTATCTGCAAATTATTTCATAATCAAACAAACGCACTTTAAGTTTTGCAATCGCGCATATTAGACTAATTTTTAACGCATCCTAAATTAACTAATAAATAAAGAAAAAGAAAGTGTAAAATATTGTCTTTGTCCAGATTACGCATCTTAAGCTTTAATGTCGCGCAAGTTAAACGTTAATCAACGCATGTAAAGACTTTGGCATTTACCACGGACCAAAGTTTTTATACATAAACCAACACACATTCTGTTTCCGTATTACGCATATTACGCCTTAGTGTAGCGCACGTTAAAAGTGTAATCAACGCATATTAAGAATTAACTGCACGCACGTAAAGTATTAATGAAACGCTATTTAAGCTAGTAGCAGTGATTGTTAAACACAAATCAGTGATAAAAACAAAAACTAGTAATGGCTTAACATTAAATTCAAGTATCTCAACTGTAAAAGCGTTCTAAAATGATTTAAATAAGTATTTGTGTTTCATATTTGCTATTTATTTTCGTTCTCAACTGAAAAGGCGTTGTAAAAATAAACTGCTATGCCTTTTTCTTACCCTGTTGTTTGTCCTTATTTTTGGAGTTAAGTGGGCAAGTCCTAGTGTCATGTTGATCTCCTCTAACACCACAAAAATTGCACCTCCTGCTCTTTTCTTTTTCCATTGCCAACTCATTGCTGCTTTTGATACGTTTGCCACTGCCCTTGTTCTTTGCATGTTTCGGTGGAAGTATATTGATCTCTGAAATCTCTATTGATCCACAAAATGATTCTATAACAGTCTTCCTGCTGTGCTGAGGGGATAACTTTTCCTTTCCTGACATTTGCAGCTGTTTCTGTTCATTAATCACTTGCGAAAATGCATCCAATTGCTCCATGTTTGAACCTGCTAGATCAATACAACAGTGTACATCATACCACAGTTTGTTCAACAACATCTTCTTTTCATCCTTTGGTCTATTCTGATCATAAATGACACCATCTATTTCAAATGAAGCCTTTAAAGATGCATCCTTAGTCCACCGATTAACCACATACTTCAGAGGGATCTTTTCAAGGTCTCTAAAGACCACAAATATGTGTATATACAACTGTCCAACCATCTCAAACATCTTGCAACTGCATTTGGCCTCATGGTCATTTACATTGTGCACCACAGTAAATATTTTGTTCTTTCCATCCATAATATCATAGAGTAACATTCCACCATCTTCTCTAACACTCAACACCATACATTTGAAACAGGAGGCACATATTTCTTCCTGAACTTTATAGAAAGCAGTAATGGTGTAGAGGATTGAAGCGTGTTTTTCGATCCCCAGAGGCGTCTTCATATGGATTGTAGCCTTCATTGTCACTGTTGAGCTTTGCGTTTGTGTTTCGTTGTGATTTAAGAACACTGTCAAAGTTCATCATGAATTCAACTAGGCTAGACTGTGGCCAGTAAAACGGCTGTACGTGTAGTTCTCACTTTCGGAACGAGACGTTGTCCTGAGTAGACCCCCCATAAAGTCATCTCTAAAATAGGCTGGGATCCAATGGTTTCTAGCCTCAAACATAGTTGTAAACCAATTGTGTTCGACTAAGTTGTACTTTTCCATGAGCTCTCTCTATTGTTTCTCAAAATCAGGAGGTTCCAAAGATGATGTCCAAACAATTGAGTTCAGTTTGTTCTTGAACTCCTCATTCTTGTTCAACGTAGGACCCACCTTTTCCCCAACTTTACACATAATGTGCCACATGTAATAACGATGCCTGGCTTGCTTGAGAACTCTTGGAATCGCCACTTTCATAGCTGGATCTTGATCAGTGACAATTATTCTTGATTCCATACCCATTGCCTTTTTAAATTTTTCAAAGAGCCAAACATAAGACGCAATGTTTTCTTTCAACAATAGTCCAGAGCCAAATGTTATACATTTTTTATGGTTATCAACTCCGGTGAAGGGTGTAAAAACCATATCGTACCTACAAGACAAAAAGCGACATCACAGTATACAGGTGTCAAACTGGCGCACTTAGAGCATTAAAGTAACACACATTAAGTTTTAAATTCGCACATATATGTACTTCAAGTCTAATTCTGGATGTTCCACATTAATATGCGCGACATTAGTGTTTAATATGCGTGGTATAAAAAGACAATGTGCGCTTATTTATATTACAATTCTTTTCAAGTAAACAGTGAACATGTCTAAATCTTAACGTGACTCAACATATAAGGCAATGCTTAATGTGAATTAATTAATGAAACGTACGCAAGAATCTGAATAGAATAATACCTGTTGGTTGAATATGTGGCATCAAAAGAGACAACATCTCCAAATGCAGCAAAATTCTTTTTTGACATTGGATCTGCCCAAAATAATCTACTCATCTGCTCATCTTCATCAACTTCGTAGTCAAAAGCAAATGCAAGGCACATCTCTTGTTTTTTAATAAGATTATGCACGAGTATTTGTGCCTCAGCACCCAATATGTATGCTCTGAGATCCCTTCTGACATTTTTAAAGTCAACTACAGTTGCCCCAACTTCAGAGTAATCCCGCACAATCTGACTGTAACACCCCGTGTTACAGCCTCCAATCCCTGATTAATTATTTAATTAGTTCCATTTAGTAATAATTAAAAAGGATTTAATTGTGTTAGGATTCCCTTAAATTAATTAATGTGGTCCACCATGGATTGTGGACCCTTGCCTAAACTAGAGTCTTAAGCCTATTAAGAATAAGGAGAGTAAACCTTTTACTAGTCAGATTCTAATTAGGAATCCTAGACCTATATATCTATTAGGAATAAAGAAAGTAGGCCTTTATTATTAAGATTATGATTAGGATTCCTGATTCTATAAATAGGGGATTAGAAAGCAATTAGAACCCTTACCACCCATAGTTATATTACACAAAATATTCCCGGGAGATTCCCCACCACCAAGCCTAGGAAGATCAATCGGATGGGAAATCTTAGAGAAGAACCTTAAATGCGAAGGGAAGATTAATTAAGGCTAAGAGGTAACCCATGTCTCAACAAAACATATTTTCTTCGCTATAATCTCCTTCCTTGGCCTCCTTCTATATGCTTGTGTCCTGATTAATTCCTCTATGCTATTTGTGATATATTCTTGATGATTGATAAGATAATTTGTGTGTATTCTTGATAATCTTGATGATCTTGATCATGAAAAGAGGTTCTTGATATTGATGTAATGAGTCTTGACAAATCTTGATATTTCCTGATGTTAAAGAAAAATCGTGATTTTGATGATTTGGGAGGGATTAGAGCCCTAGGATGGATTGGGAATTTGTGTTGTAATGTTCTTGATATATATTGGGTGGGAATTCGCATGTTCGGGTGTTGTTTAGGTTTAGAAGTCGTGATGGGATGAGTTATACGTGATTCTTGCTTTGATCCATTAATTGACTACGTGGTGTCGTTAATTGCGTCTAAAAGTGTCTAAGCATGGTTTCGGGTTCCACAAAGGATCCCGGGACAAATTTATGATGAAAGAGTCAATGGGGGGTTGGTGGGGGTAGGGGTACCCGCCACCTACCCGCTGCTCGAAGATCACCGCCGGGCAGCGGGCAGGCGTCCGCCCGCCGGCAACCCGCTGCCGGGCAGTGATCTCCGGCGGGCAGCCGGCGGGTGATTCCCCACCCAACGGTTACCCACTGGTCCGTTACCCACCCCGGGTCCTCGGCTTCCCCGTTTGATGTTCCCCATTCCCCGTGGTGTCCCAACAGACCCCGTTTGTCGTGTTTGAGCCTAGTTTGATGTTTCGGGTGCCGTTCGTAGGATAAAAGAGTCTTAGGAATTGAATGCTAGTTGAATCGGTAACCCGTTGACCTAGGTGGAAGTCGTATGAACCCCTTAGGATTATTCTTAGTATGTGAATGATCACACATAAGCTTAATTATATGTCTCCCCTCCCCAATGTGCTATTATGTGCTATTATGTGCTATTGTGTGTTATGTGATGCATGATTCCCCAACTTGGTTGCGATCAAGTTGGCTATACGGGCAGTTGAATGGGCTGAGAACCATCCCAACTGTTAACCAGGCCGGTTAAGATCGGTCAGGTATATAAATATTATATAGGGCTGCGGTCCACTATACGGGCAGTTGAATAGGTTGAGAACCATCTCAACTGTTAACCAGGCTGGTTGAGATCAGTCAGGTATATAAAGATTATATAGGACTAAAGGTCCACATGGGCCTCGGTGATATGACCCACCGACCTGAACGCGCCAGGCGGTGAGTAGGGCCAATAAGCCGAGGAAGGCTTTAGTCCACCGACCTAAGTAATCAGGCGGTGTGTAGGGCTACAGCTGGCTGCGATCCACCGAGTGATGGGACAGTGGTGTGTAGGGCCGTAGTCTCCGAGGATCTTCGCCCACCGACTGAGTTTAGCTCAGCGGTGTGTCGGGCTTGATCCACTACGGTCCACCGACTGTACGCATCAACGGTGTGTAGGGTCGTAAGTCCCCCCTTATAAAGGGGATCGCGGTCCATCGACTGTGCGCGTCAGCGGTGTGTTGGATCATGGTCCGACGTTGTGTTCATCAGCGGTTCTCAAAGGGTTGGTTGCGATCGACTCCCCTTATACCACGGTACTGAGGTAGGGTGCTGCGGGGCCGTGTTAATGCTATAAGCATTAACCCTCATGTTCGGGGCATGCGATTGGTCCAGTGGCACCATCAACGATTATGTGATATGAATGATGATTGAATGATGATGTGTTTGAATTGAAAAGTGTTCTGTGACCTTAAATGCGTAGTCCTTATGATGTTATGTCTACTTAACTGTTTATCATTGTTTGATGTGCTTGTCCCTACTTGCTAAGTGTATTCCCGGTTTTAAAACTAGTGTCTCTTAAGTATATATCTTCCTGCTTCAAAATGGTTTTTCGTATATCTATATATATCTCTATATAATGTATTTCAACGCGTTGGAGTTTGTTACCAGCATCTCTCGCTGAACAGATATATTTGGCTTTCAGGCACAGATGAGTAGATCCCAGAGCACGCTAGAGATTCGAGGCGTAGAGTAGCTAGTTCCCTTTCGGCCTGCGTGCCATGATTATGTATTGACGTTATTTGAGGATTTTAGTTAGTTCGCTTGTGCACATGAGTTCTCTAGCTCAGGTGTGGCATAACACCCCATACTCTTATGTTTGATTTTGGGATTTAATGGGGAATTACCTTTATTATATAAGTTTTAAAAGTTTCAAAATTTCGGGGTGTTACAGTTGGTATCAGAGCCTAAGTTTGACCCTAGAATAAGACTCTTAAGACCAGACTTTAGGACATTAGGCTTGAACTTTAGGTATTTAGGAACAGAGGATTCAGGAATCTTAGGACGCGCGGTGAGATTGTGAGCCTACTTATCATCACATAACTTTCCCTCACTCTATCCTGCATTTAGCTTAAAGAACTCCCCCTACACTTACCACACCAAGGTAAGGGTGCAGCACACTAACTCATCATTACAATAAATATTGACCCTGAGAACCAGCAGCATAGCGCCAACAAGAAGTCAGTCGAGGACCCCCGAACCCTCCGCTCACAAATCTCTAGCTCAGAATCTACAAACTAGCTCAGGTCACCCAGGCACTAAGCGACGCAATCCTCCGCAACAACAACAGACCACCACCACCACCAAACAGAAACTCAGATTTCACTCAGCAAGTTTCGAACCATCGCTCACCCACCTTCTCAGGGGAAGAGGGCCCCACACTCCTCGAAGAATGGATCCGAACCTTCGACAAAGTCCTCGGGTTAGTGGAATGCCCAAAGGAACGCCGCGTGGAGATAGCCTCATTCTACTTTCAGACACGAGGGCGATCTTTGATAAAACCACGAAGGACCCACTTATGAGCAACAACCGGAGATTCAATTGGGAATGCCTAGAAGCACGGCGACAAGAACGATTCCACCTCGAACCCCTAACGAAGCCTATACCAGTGCTACCGAATCCAACTTCTACAACGGGAAATTCAGGAACAAACCCAAAAGGAGGAGTAACAGAAGTGGGGGACCACTTGTAAAGAGGACGGGGAAACGCCAATTAAATGCAAGGAAGTGAAGTAGCACATAAACAATAGGTTTTCTTAATCTTTAGCGCGAATCGTCGAAAAAGACTCGACATGACAAGAAATCGCGACAGACGCGTAGAAAGTATCATACAACTAAAGCTTCCCTGCAATAAAGGTCTTACCTTGGAACAAGGACCTGGATGGTTTTAAGACACCGTAAGAAGTACATGTGACACACAAAATCGCCAAAACACTATGCGACGTCAAGGACAGCCAATCAAATGCATTCCAAGGAAGAGAAAGGCATCACTAAGCATTTGGT